CTCACTAAAGCCTTATCCTATAGTTTGAAATCTTGCGTGAAAAGAAAGAGAATAACACATCATAATGGCTGAGGAAACCACTAGGGGACAAGAGTTATATATATATATATATATATAAGGTAGCATTTCCAAAATTGGAAAGAGGTGGGCAAGCCACTATGTTTGATTCAGTACAAAATCGATAATTAATTAGATGTAAACAAATGAATAATTAATTATTTATTAATTAAAGTAATTAATTAATTGAATGATTAATTTGCAAGTTAATAAATATGTAGCTAAATAATATGTAATACGAAAGTAATTGATATCTAATTAATCTTTTTAATTAAGATTAATTAAAATACATGTAATAACGTCCAAGCCCTTAACCTCAGCAAATGTTTTTTTCCAAGAAATGAGGTTGTTTTTTTGCAGCTAACTGTAAGCTGCTATATACGTTCGGTTAGCATGTGGCTCTACCTATGGGTATCAATCGAAAATATGTTTTTATTAACGCATCATTTGTTACGATTTAATGTCTTAACAAACTGCAAGAATATTATTTTATAATAATTAATTGTTAATTACTATTAACTTCAGAGGATTATTTTCCGAGAAACCAGTCTGTGTTTTGGATCTGCATTATGGAAAATGTAATTTTGCTTTTTATTAATGCGACAGTTGGTACAGGTTGAAAACAATGTACGTATGACAAATAATAAAGTTAAGTAAATGAATTTTACAACTATTCTGATTTACCCTTTTTTCGTTAAAATAATTAATCGTTATACATCCTAGAAAGGATTAATACTTTACAAGTTAAAATCATTATCTAAATAAGCTGTGTCAAGTATTATTTTTTTACAAACAATTTTTAGTTTTCTACTTATCTTCGTTCGGTAATCACACTGTTCATCACATTAAATGTTAGTTTACAACATTCGTAGGTTCTTTCTTTTACCTATTTTACTATGCATCGTTTTAATCAGGCTGAATAGCTCGACCTATTGTCTCAACTACAATATTTACGAAGTTGTAAATATCTGCTATCTTCAATGACCGCTCTGGCTTGTACTGGCCCCAGACATTTTTTTTTAGCATCAGTACTTCCTGCAATGGAATGGGATTCTTTCACTTATATAAAACCCCAATATGTGTTATGCATATATCGTTAATATATATTAATTAAATCACAGATTTAACGAGACTGAAACACATAGCAACAACATACGATTTACAAAGGTGGGTGGTGTTTTTATAGGCGGATATTGTTACTGTACCTCTGTAGGACTGCATACAGAATTCATCTTGTCTCAATTTATATTATATGTGGTTTACAAAGGCAGATGGGTGTTTCTATAGGCAGCTAATGTTAATAACATATTTAACATATAGTACTGTACTTGAATATAATTTTCACTTCTATGTTTACTTTGCATGGCACACTTTTGGATTTTCTAACATTCTATATGTAAAGTACGTATTGCTAATTCACTAGTTGTCATTTGTATAATTCATATTTTGTATAAGATTTATTCACTCTGATATGCACCAGGTTCTCGGTCAGAAATCATAACGGTCGTACATACAAACAAACAGAATTATTAATTATTATTGATCAATAATATTTCCGGTTTTATATTCAATATTCGTGTGTAATTTTACCTGAACCATTACTATGGGTGATACAACCCTAGGGACCAGAAGTTTGTAGCTTATTATAATATTTTGTGATAATTTTCAGTTTTTCATGCTGTTTCACTCATGTTTTATGATTTTGTAATCAGTGTTATTTATTTTATAATGTATTTTCACTCTCTTAGGTTTGGCTTTGTCTAGTGTTTACTGTGGTTGGACTGAGAATCCAAGAGTTTATGGTTTGCACTTTTGGAGCCATGGGTGCATCATAATATTGGTGGTCAAATCCCATTATTCATTCACACAAGATTAGCCCAAGAGTTGGTGGTGGGTGCTGATGGCTAACTGTATTTCAGTTTATCAGTTCAAAAAGGGAAGAGGGGTGGTTATAAATATATATATATCTTTCTATAGATTTGCGAGGAAATTCCGAAACAAACAATTTTCATTCTCTTAGTTTTATTTTAATTTTTTAAATATCATAATTTTTTTATTTTATTCGATTTCTGTTTAGTTTATTTTAATTTGTGGTTTTATTGAAAACAGTTTTCAGTATATATTACTGAATGTTGTAAATGAGCTTACATTGATCCAGTTTACGTAATAAACAAGAGTGCCAGGATATTGTACTAAAGGCTAAACAAAGAAGCATGGAAAAACTCGCTTGAAATGGCCAGAATTATATGCAGACTAGTAGTTGACTTTAATGACTTATTGGATACCAAACTAGCACTTGTTCAACTCTAACTGTGGGGTATCCACTCAAGCCTTTGACTTGATTCTTATTGTTCTTGTCCTGCGTAGTCATACTTGGAAGGGTCTCCTCTTCACACTAATAACCAGTTAAAATTGTAATGAGAAACTGAAACCAGCCATTTGGTAATAAACAGAAAGCACTGTTGTAATAGATATATTAATGTGACTGAAAATGGTTCTACTAATTTGTTAATAAACAGAAAACATGCTAGTGAACAAAGATTTTGTTAATTTGTTCACTTATATTGGTTTCCTCTTAGATGCTCATGTTTGATTTATTCTCTGCATGACACTTTTTGAATCTGCTTTGTGTAGACACTTTAAACTTATATGTTGGATATGCGTGTACATAAATACCACATTGCAAATAGTAGTACTGCATATCTCACTCTCCTATGACATATACGTATCATGTTAACAAAATGTTTAGATTATTTAAATTTCTAATTTGGAACATATAAATCCGGTTGGAGTCATGTTCCAACTCATCACTAAGTGTTATTTGCTGTCGGAGGTTTCAGGTATAGTAGCTATATGCTGTTTCTAAGTTTCTTCAAGTTTGTTTTAGTTTCATGAATCAGTTTTAGTTTATTTCAATTGCCAAACAATATTTCAAACTTTTTTTTACGAGGAAATGTTTTATCGATATGCCTCGGACTAAGAGTTAAAATGAGATATTTCTGAAAGAGCCAAAACATCACTAAAGATCCATTACTCTCTACGGCTGAACAATCACAGAATTGGATAACTAGAATCCAGAAGTATCTCTGTGCTATATTCGTAAAGCGATCTCACATTTCAGATGGTACTGAAGATACGATACAACTATCTCATCTTTGGTCAACCTATACCATTAGAGTAACATCGAGGGTTTAAAAAGTACATTACTTAATCCGGATTTAGCAAGCAAGTTTAGAATGTCGAAAAAAGTTAGTTTTTGTTTATATTCACTATATATATATGTGTGTGTGTATTCTATAGTTCTGCATACCACACTAAACATTTTCTATATTAAGATATACAGTTTTGAAATGATGACTATTCTACTTTTTTTTTATGTGAAACAAAGTGAAACATTGCTTTAATGTGACAGTCATCAAAGTTTGTGAACGTAATGTGGATTTAAATAAAATATTATCTGATTTTTTAAAATTAAATAAATGGTTCTTTGATTGTGGCTGGTTTATTATATCTAAAAGTAGTTCATTACAGATGCTCTACCTAATTCCCAACTCTGACTTTAGACTTCGGTGTTGTTATTTTTCTCAACCCTGTCATATGAATATTTATGCAAATCACCAAAGTCTCTCCAGGGATATAGTGAAGCGTATTTTTACAGTATTAATTTGGAAGAAAACAAATGCCTATTTCTGTTCTATATAGTTTTGGATCCTGCTCTTTTCTTTTTCTTGAGCAACTTTGTTTCGTTATTGGTTTAGCTTACAACCGAGAGAATCTAATTAATTTTAACGTAATTTGTCTTTTTTACATAGTGTATTTTAATTAATTTTTTGCTTTTTTCACAAACTTAGATCATAACTGTAATGTCTGTATAAGATAATGATTGATAGTTATGGTTTATTTTTCGTGTGTTCCTTTCAAATAAATAAAAGTTACCTAATTTTACTGATTTTTGTATCGATACTGTGACTGGTTAAAACACTTTACATAACCGAAACAAAAACGCTGGTTTGAGTCATCTTAAACTGTATCCCAGTAATCACAGTTGCCTATAAGGATATCGAGCCTCATCATATATTCAACGCCCTCTTTAGGTAATCTTTCAGAGTTTTATCTGTAGTACACAGTTTACAATTCAGTGTACGCCTAACAGTCTTAATGTGTAAAAAATACATATTTATTCAAGCTAGTTTTGTCAGCAAAGTTAAACTTAATTTTAAGTTATTTTTTATTTCTATCTCGACGATTATCAACGGTTAGAAAGACATGTAACCTGCAATATAATAATGATAAGAAAACGAAAGATCAAGTTGTGATGTTACTAAATATTCCTTTTTTTCTTTCATATATAACATGACAATTTTAACCACTTTATTTCACATGATATTTTTCAACACTTTTATAATAACCTTTTTTGTTTATTTTATTACAGCAGTAAACATATAGCATGCTGTATATGTAGTCCCACCATATATCTAGTTACAGAAAGTTTACTGATGTTTAACCAAGTGGCTGCATAATTAAGAGTAACGTTACAACCACATTTTGTTCCACTCCTTACTTAATAATACTTGATTAACCAGCAGCGAAACGTTATGATTTATATTTTTGGATTGTTTTTAAGGTTTGAGAAAAAAAAATGTGTTTAGTTGTTCAATAAAACATCATTTATGAGAACACTCTAACTGTTGCTTCTAAAATTATATGTTTTAAAGTAAAAAAAAAGAGAGAGAGAGAGGAGGGGACGTGATGGGACTTCACTAACCAGACAAATACTTTAACCAACTAATGTTGAGAAATAGTGGTATAAGTAGTACTAATCACGTTGAAATTAAATACGTATATATATATATATATATGAGAAAAATAATGATTACATATTTGACACTAAAATAAAAAAAAATCAGTCACCGATTCCTACTCAGTTATAAGCACATAATCATTCGGATCTATGTATCACCACTAGCCAGTCACATCTTATCACTCAGTAATGCTTCTGGTAACTTATCATTAGGATGTTTTTTATTCCTCGTTTAAAACCAAGCTATGAATATACTGAATCACAAAATATATGTTTTTCATCTATATTGCTTGCATGTGTTTAAACCAGTAATTTAGCACAGCATGCAGAAATTGATAAGGAAATCTTTTGTTTTATTATTTGTAAAAAAGAGATTTAAAATGTGTTGGAAGGTTCGTATAAAACTGATTTGGCACATCAAGTTTACAAAAGAGCATTCTGTTTTAGCATCTTCTGAACACTGGTGGAATTCAGTAGGACCTCTGATACAGATGTTAGCAATGATAACCGACGTTTTCCTTGTTTCGATGCTTCTTCATTTTGGAACTAGAGTGACTTGTCAAGAATCAAAAGGTAAGCTAATGTAACTTAAGAATGTCTGTTTTAGTTATGGCTATCATTTATATAACCTTATTTCTGTAATATATTAAGTTGTCTCTAATTTTACCACTATAAACCCATACCTTGAGACTGTCGCATTTCTCAAGAGGATATCAACCTTCAATTATTTCCTTCAGCTTAATATTATTATTACATAATATAAGGTAGATATATTACCATTTTAACCCTTCAATTTAAGCAACGTACCGTACTATTTGGAACTGATTAAGAGTATGTAGATGTGAACAAACAGTCACAGCCTTCTGAAGCGTATCTACTTGCCCCAGCGTAAATGAAAATATGAAGGATTTATCCTGGCCAATACGTGATTTTACAGTAAGACATTTGCCTGACCAGTACGATGTAGAAAGGTATGGTTCTTTTCCATTCACTCTGTACTGAGGAAAGGACCGCTGGCCGTTCAGTAGGTTTCAATACTTTATGAATGGACTAAGGAGTAGATATGGCAACACATTGAATAAATATTTATTTATCACCAAAAAATGTGGCATGTCCTCTGGCGACGCTCTTGATCTCTGTGTTTTATGGTGTTATTTCACTGATAATTTGGGAACTTTACTTGTCGCTATCCCAACATTACCATGAGAATACAGAGTGATCGTATAGTAGTATTGTATGTATTTGGTTAGAGTCAGAGAAGCGTAATTTCTTTCTTCTCTGACTGTCCAGATCTGTAGTTGACTTTCCGTATTGGAGTTTGTCTTGTTTGATCGTATAGTAGTATTGTATGTATTTGGTTAGAGTCAGAGAAGCGTAATTTCTTTCTTTCTTCTCTGACTGTCCAGATCTGTAGTTGACTTTCCGTATTTGAGTTTGTCTTGTTTTTGTTCGTCATACATTCCAGCTTAATTTGAAAACAGTATTGTCCTCGTCTTAACATAACAAAACATAAGGAAAGCAAGGGAACCATTTGGTCCTTAAGGATATCACTGCACACCATGCCTTAAAAAATTAATTAATTCTTTATTTTTCAGGAAATTGTCGATTCACCTTTTAATATCTTATAAAGTGTTGACTGTTTCGGTGCTTCTTCATTTCAGTTACTGGAAGGCTCTAGGGATCAGTGCTTGAGGCTGTACTTTTTATACATACAATAATGATATTGATAGGGTCATAATTAGCAAATTGAGGAACTGCAAAATGACTTTGAGTCCAAACTTTGATCTAGTTTTAAACGCTGGGGAAAACGTTGCCGATCTCTCAATTTTCATCTACTGTTGATTTTATGTAGTTCTGTAAAGTTCACTGACACGAAAATACCAAAACCAAATCCGTTAAATAAGCAATTTTATTTCACGTTCAACTGTGTTGATGTGTACAACTTTTATTATAAAGATATCCTGGTTTTTCACATCTGAAACTTTATCTCCAACGCGCATCAATTCCTAAATATAAGCGATTCCATCTTCAAACTTCAGTTACTCACTGGCAAGCAGATCTAGGTTAGCTAATATAGGTTGTCACTCACCTGCATGCATTTTTCGTGCAAGAACATGATGCAGATTTTGATGTTACTTAACATGTATAAGAACATGATACAGATTATGGTGTTACTTAACATGTGCAAGAATATAATACAGATTATGGTGTTACTTAACATGTGCAAGAATATGATACAGATTCTGATGTTACTTAACATGTGAAAGAATATGATACAGATTATGGTGTTACTTAACATGTGAAAGAATATGATACAGATTCTGATGTTACTTAACATGTGAAAGAATATGATACACATTCTGGTGAAACTTAACATGTGTAAGAAATTATGGCTAATTCTTTTGGCCGTAAGTATGTTAGCCATGCAGTATTTCCAAAGTAAAAACTTGTATGTAGGTAATGTCTATCCCAACTGGTCACATCGTAACAGGAAGTGGCTGGTCTACTTTCCGTCTTGCTGATAATAGCAGTGGGCGTAGACGTCGTCGATTGGTGTTCAACCAACCAGTAGTCAAATAGGAAACTTCTAAAGTTCGTGCTCCATCATGGGAGAGCACTCCATATCTAGGAGCTGGATTCTCCTCATTTATTTGTCCTCTGGCCTCACCAGACCAAACGACGAACGGGAGATTAAAAATATGCTGATCCTCACTCACCAGATACTATTGTTAAGTAGCATCAGAATGTGTATCATGTTCTTATACATGTTAAGTAACAGCATAATCTGTATCATGTTCTTACACTACAAAAACAGCACATGATAAATCAAATCAAATTAAAGACGTACTAAACAGACTTTAAATGGTGCACTATCACTGGTCTAAAATGCATAAATTTCTGTCACTACAGTAAAATATGACAGGTTTTGCATTTCATATTAACTGAAGCAATAAGTATAAAACAAACTACACAGCTGCTCAAATAACAAATTTAATTCTGCAAGTGGCCCAAATACTCAGTGACGTGCACAGAGGGGTGACTGGGTGGACTGAAGCCTCTACCTTCCTACAGTTATGCCCCAAAAGTGCCCTTTTTTATGTGTCATAAAAAATTGTCAACTACGAAAAGATACACCTTACTCCACCCCTTGCTTGCCGAGAGTTATTAGTAAAAAAAAAGGTTTCAGTTAAAATGAATGACACACACGAACTTGCAGGTCTTTGTAGTAGGAAATAACTTTGATATGCTAACAAGAGTTAATACCAAGAATTCACTTTTTAATTTTAACTCGTAAAAATGTTTACATGACCAATTGTATAGGAAAAAAAGAGGATCTTTTTTATGTGGTTTATTATTGTTATTATATATTATTCATGTTACAGTATAAATATAAATTACGGTTAAGCGAATGAAAAACTACAAAATTAGGTACGTAAGTATAAGTTTCGACTAGGGACAGAGCACAGCCTAGTGGTTAACAGAAGAAAATAAAGGATTAAAATAACGTACCTTACACCCTTCTTCTTTTTCGTAACAGACTCTCAGTATAAAGCTCCATTGAAACAAAAAACAGTATACCAAGTATTCTGTATATCAGAAAATGTTCCAGTGAATAAATTAAATAATCCCTTTAAGCTATGCCTAATAACATTTTCAAATGAAAACAAAGTAGCCCAGGACATAAAAAATACAAATTTACATGTTATTGCCCTCTTGTGGTATATAGACATCACAAATCTAGTTTTTTAGTAATTTATATTTAGTAACGTATATATATATATATACGAATATTCAAAGCACCACCAGGGCTACAAGTTAATATTAAAGAACAGATAATTTCTCTCTTGATTCAGACAGAATTTGTTAAGCACTAAAGTGGGAGATTATATGATATATATATATTAGGATATTTAGTTTAATAATAATATATATATATCCAGAATATGATATATATATATATGGATATGATCTTCTCGAGCGTAATAAACATATATAACTATTCAAACCACCAAGTTCGAAATATCATATCTGTTTTTTAATATTTTTGACTTCGATAGGTTGGTAGCGCTTTCGCAGCTATAATACTTCTTTTCAGCTAATGGCTCTTCTTATAGTGCTAAATGTACAGGAAACAATTAAAGTATTGCCTAGATGTTACTTTATGTACTATGAATTGATTAAAAATGCTATGTGCTGTTTATTGAAATGTTTGGATTTTATCCGTCATCACCCTGGGTGTGAGGTTGTATTAAGACTGTCACATGGGGCATGGGCACTCATGGGTTCTTCAGTTCCAGTTTTGTGATCGTTCAGTTATAGAGAGAAAAAACTGAATTCTGACGGTGTTTTATTTCAGGAAAGTACTGAAGAATAGATACTTCTTAATGGGCTGTTACCTACCGGATGAAAATACCCGTAGGGAAAGGGCTGAAGAATATGTAAGGAATATTTCCCTCCCAAAGAAACAGCTGTCATAGGAATAGGGTTCACAAAAGTCTAAATTAAGATCTCACAACTGGCTGAATGCTTATTGAATTTTTCTTGACAGTGAATAAATGTTTATTACTCATCCAGATAACAGCAGTAAGTACAGGGTACAAAACTGAGATAAAGTTCAACACTTGAAAACCAGCTGAACTTTAAGGGCTGTTACTTTTTAAACTGTTCGAATATCTCATTCTTTCCATGGAAAAAAACCCAAGGAGCCAAAATATTAAATAATCAAATCACTTCTCTTGATGATACATAGTTGTGAATTTTCTATTTGGTTTTGCTAGAACAATAAATAATTCTAATAAACAGCTTTTAATAATTATGCTATACACCACAGTGATATGTGCTCAGTGTTGATTAAAGCAGCTCTTCGGGTGTGGTCTAGTTCTGTTCAGTGTTGTGTTGTTCTAGCAGGCTTTATACTTCACTGAATATTCTGTTTTTTGGATATCGCAGCATAAACTAGCAAGTTCTGGTAAAAATTCACTTTGGTTTTCACGCAAAGCTACGCGAGGGCTATCTGCGACGGTCGTCTCTAATTTAGCAATGATAAACTAGAGGGAAGTGTCAGCACCACTAAATCTTGGGCTACTCTTTTACCACCGAATATTAGGATTGACCATTACATTACAACGTCCCAACGGATGAAAGGGCGAACATGTGAGGGGACAGGGATTCGAACCCGCAACTCGCATAAGTGCAAGTCGAGCGCCCTAACCACCGGGCTATGCCAGTCCTAAAATTTCAATACGATATTTTTTTTATGTTATGTTAAACATATCTCAGTCCAACATTTTGTCAAATAAACGGTTTACAACAATCGGATACGAACATCTCTTTCGTGTTTTTTTACATTAATAATCATACAGCTTGTTGACAATAACGCTGTTTACCGTACCTTAAAATCTGAACACTAAAGTTGTTTACTTTAGAGTAACTATTTACTAAACTCTACGTTATACACTAAGTGATTATATGAGTCTATTGGTAAAGTTCTTTTGCATGTTTATTGAATACAGATCTGTGAACAAAAATAGTGTTTTTATATCTTGTAAAATATTGTTTAAAAGTTTTAAAGTGCAGATCGTATGAACGTTGTCTGTATCAATAGATTTAAATTTTTTCATGATATATTGAGTGACTACGGTAACCATACTGAGCGTTTGTTTGGAATCTATTATGTGATTATGTATAAAATTTCATCTGTTCTGGTTTAATACCTGATAGCTTGTTTATTTGTTTGTTTCAAATGTCGCGCAAAGCCACACGAGGGCTATTTGCGCTAGCCGTCACTAATTTAGCAGTGAAAGACTAGAGAGAAGGCAGCTAGTTATCACCACCCACCGCCAACTCTTAGGCTCCTCTTTTATCAACGAAATAGTGGGATTGGCCGTCACATTATAACGCCCCCACGGCTGAAAGGGCGAGCATGCTTGGTGGAACATGGATTCGAATCTGCGACCCTCAGATTGCGAGTCGAGTGCCCTAACCACCCGCGAGAAGATAGAGAAAAAATATTTCTACAGCAGTGGTTCCCAATGTTTTTTGTTGTTCTTGTTGTTGTTGTATTATTATTTCAACATGTACTGCTTGAATCAAAGACAAGATCGCATATCTTTGAACACGGATAAGACATCTGATCCTTCACAGTATAATAATTATATGTAAAAGCGGTTCTGGAATAAACAAATAACTTAATAAAATTTTCAAATAAACATTACTTTAATTTAACATTGTATTGTTTCCTTTTTTTACCGTCTTTACCCGTCGCGAACCACCTTTAGAATGCAAACGAACTCCTTGTGGTTCGATTACCACATATGTAGAATGACAACCATGGTTCTACGACTTTAGACTAGATTAAGATGTTATATAGTTTCTATAGGTTTTGGTACTAAACACATTAAACTGACTTTAGATAGTAAAAAAACTCCAGATAAACTAGTGATATGGAAAGTATAATGATAAGTGTGTAATGAAAACTACACTCTAGGAAAAGTGGCATAAATCTAACTACAGAAGATATAATAAAAAAGATACAGTTTGTAATTTGTACTTAGAGCAAAGCTACTAAGGCTGGCTACTACCGTCCCTGATTTTGAGCTACTAATGAGAGGGCAAATGGCCACTCAGTAGTACCCCAGCAACCACCACGCTAAGGAATTGAATGGCGCTCTTATAACGCACTCACAGTTGCATTTATGTTGAGTTTGGCTACTAATGTACCTGAGATTCATCACTGTGTTACACTGAACAAAATGTGATGTGGTGAATTAGGAGCTAAGCTAAATGTAAATTCAGTTTTACAGCGCATGAATAAAATAGTTTTACTTTGCTTTGTTTATTAGATAACACCTACTGTTTGAACTAAGGCAAACTTTTGGAAGGATTTCACATAGTTTTATGTGTTACATCAACTCAATAAATTTATAGTAATCATTATTGTTTAAGTAGACCTTTAAGGGGAAGTAACTCATACAGGGAAATAATATGCAGATCAGGATGTTGCTAATATTGTACACATTGTCAAGTAAATTACATGGAACTGGAAAAGATGTTACATTTAAGATGGTAACATGTAAGAAATAACCAAACACAGCAGTAACATTAGATGTTACTCTCGTTCTGAGACGAACTAAGCGAAATGAACTATCGAGTGACTACGTGAAATGGAGGAGGAGAATGTTTTGAAATTTTTATTAATCGATGTTATTTTTTATTCACCGCTTGTATGGCATGCTTTCAAGAATAAGTATTTGATTACAACTAAAAAGAAGCACAAATCTACCTCAGCTAAATAGACGCAGACTGAATTCATTGCTTTGTGCCACTAGCGCCAGATAGAGTAAGGATCCGCTGGCCGCGGTCGCTGGATGCTAACATCGCGAGCGGTCAGTTCACTCTTCAGTTCCGTACTTGGTGGTGCTTTTTTTTTTCCAGTGGCGAATTATTTGCAAAAAAAAAATGTGCACATCGAATTTTCCTTTTAAAATTTCCAACTACTAAGAAAAAGCATACTTGTACCAATATTTCATGTTGCTGGATTGATGATACTAGAGATTAGAGAGACGCGTGAGTTCTGGAAAAGAGTACTAGGTATACATATTTTATGCATAATGAGGAAACTATATATACATATTTTATGCATAATGAGGAAACTATATATACATAAAATACTACGTACTTTTTATTTTTCCTTGCTTT